GTGTTGGGAACTGGCTCATGGTGCTGTGATTCCAGGTCTCTGTAAATGGGCCCAGGCCAGGCTCCCCTCTTGCGCCCCTGGTCCTGACCTGTGGAAGGCACCTCCTCCTCCGGATCCATCCCCAGTGCCTGGGGCTTAGTCAGCCCAGCTCGGCCCAGCCAGCACTCCCTGACAGGGGCTAACATTTCAGGCTTTGAGTCAGGCCCCTTCTGGAGGTGATTAGCCCCAAACCCATGACAGATTCTTTCCAAGATATCCGACACGGCATGTTTATTTTATCCGGGCTCTTTGTGTGGATGTGCTGGACATGAGTAACCTACTTGAAATGGATATCGGCTTACATATCCAGAGAGGGAGTGAATAAAGCAGAGCCACAAGACATTGCTTTTAAAGGCAAAAAATATAGAAATACGCTTCCCTGTTTCTAGGTGATTGTATTGTCAAGTGTATGGGTGCTGCAGATGTTGAAGATGCTGCATGCCTCTAAGCAGTTCTCCGCTTACTTTCTATCTCACACCCCCCAGACACACAAACTTTTCCAACCTTCCTCTTCCATCCAAACTGAGATTCGACCCCACCAAACATCCGTTCTCATGCCAGAGGGACACCAGGGTATATATTTTTATTTCAGCCCAGAACCCCTGCCTCCCGAGCACTTAACTCAATTTCACACTTGAAGTCCTCTACAAAGTCCAGATGAAACACAGTCATCTTGTTTATCATCCATGATCCAAAACAACTTAATGTCAGACTATTTACCACCATTCATATGCATTCAATTTCACCCCTGTAATCCCAGATCTTGGATTTATCTCAGGCAGTGGAGCTTGCTTTTCACAGAATATGTTAGAGATGCAGAGACACAGAGATGAGGAAACCAACAGAGTCATTGTACAGTGGAGCAGCAGTCTGTGCCAGGGTTGGTAAATTTCAGACACCCTCTTCTTCTATGTTTTCAACTGCCATGAACACAGGATTTTAAAATGCTTTTTATGATGTTGATGCTGTGCATACAGAATGCAAGGATTAGCATTAGCTGAGTTGTTTTTAAGTCTTAAGGGGCCATTTTCTAGTCTGTCAGAGTAAATCTAAAGTTTGACACTGGTTAAGCCAGGTACACTACAAGTCTTTGTAATAAAGCCCCCCACACTGTCCCTTCAGATTTGGTTGGAGGATGATTCACACTAGTTTGTTTCATCATATGGAGCCCTCATATGTACAAATAAAGTAGTTTCAATAATCTGGATAAACTTTTGGCTAGTTGACAGCCTGATGATTGCCCCATCTCATTCCTACATCTCCACAAATACTTTTCTGAGACCAGAATTGTTCTTTAAGATGACTAGAACTGTTCAGGGTGCTTGCCCACAAAAACCAAAGTTCATCAGCTCATATTCATGGGACCATTTCATTTCTTATTAAGGTCCTCATTCATTTCCTGACCGTGTGTTGTTTGTTTCTTGACAAGATCGGGGGGCAAGGCTTCAAAGTACCAGCACTGTCTCTCCTGCTACACTGGTTTGCTGTGGGCAAAGTGAAGTAGAATTTTCCCATTCATTTGAATGGGGCGAGATTTTCAAAATAAAGCTAAATATTTAAAAAGTATGAAGTTTAGAAAATTTCCGAATAGTAGTATGAATGTCCTTGAAGAGCTGAACATTTTGATAGCTGAAATTATGCTGAGTGTAGAATTCCAGACCTCCCCCTCCTCTCCAAGTTTCTGATATTAAGTGAGAGATGTCCCTTCCTCAGTAGGGACAAGATCACTTAATGTGCTTAAGAGCTCTTCTTAACATGCGTGACTCCTACAGGCCCCCTCCTGACATCCTGGAGGAGTACTGGAGGGGTATTCAGGAGATTGGAGGGGGTCAGTAGGGGTCTTTAGTGAGGGGTTCACAGGGGAAAATGGAGAGGAGAGTCTTATCTAGTCCATGCTACTGGAGTGCAGCATAAATATCAACTGTTTTCATGGTGCGCATCCTGCATCACTGTGTATCCACTGAACATGTTTGCTACCATATACACTCACTTCCAAAGATTTCAGATTTATTGTTAGTCTTCTTAGCACCTTTTGATCCATCTATAGGAGTTTGTAAGATGAATGACATGTCAAAACTGTGAACAGGGAGCACAGAACCTTTGTTTGGATTATCCATTGCTATAATTTGATTGATTTATTCTTTCAAGCATATAAAACAGTTGATATAACAACACACATTTTTACACACAATCCAATATCAATTTGCTTATACCTAGTACACTATATGAACAAGTGGGCTGTTTAAAAACATGTTTCTCTGAGGGCTTTTCTAGACAGCCTGGGTCCTGACTCTGTGTGTTTTCAGCTTTCGAAAGTGCGAGTAGCTATTTCCTGGCCTTCGCTGCCCCGGGGGGGAGCAGCTGTCACTTGACATTTTTAGTGCGGCTGCTCAACTAACCCAAGAAAACTGTTAAGCTTCCATCTCCTTTTTACAGCTTAGCAAAATCAAATAAATGGCTTAAATAAATGCATCATTAGTTCCAGCACTGGGCTGTCAAAATTCATCATCGGTTTACGCCCATCTATAGCAGCGTTACTATCAGCGCAACATAAATGTTTACTTTGAATTCTGACCTTATTATGAGATTTTAGTATAACTCGTAAATCAGCAGCCTTTCAGATTTCTCTCTTCAACAAACAGTTAAACAATTGCTTGGATACAATTGTACAAAGAACCACATTGTAGAACCTCTCCCATTGCATCTTTCAGCAACTTTTAAATGATTTATAGTAATGAATCCTCCACACAATACACCACCCTAGGCCAGAACATAAATGCTGGCGGCTTTGACCACTGTTCTGTCTCAGTGGTGGCCGACTGTAAGCTGTCAAATGTTCCAACAGATCAGGCCAATGAGCTGTTTATTTTTTGTGCTAGTACTCTTGTGAGAAGCTGTTAAGCCACTCTTTCATTTCAGCATTGATTAGGCCTTTTTTCATTTCCAAACCTTTCCCCCACTTTCACTGATTTTGACAGTGCACCCACTCTTTGCTATCATTGTCATTAATACTGTCACTTAACCGGCAGTCAGGAAGAAAAGTAGTCGCCTCTGATGTGTATTTGATGTTTTCTGTCAAGTGCAGTTTGCAGGGCCGAGCCGGGAGAGATGATGGAGCAAGTGAAGCAGGCACAAGTTCAGCACTGGCTGCACACCCAGTCTGACAGGGACTCAGAGAGGTGAGGCACTTAATAGGCAAGTGCCTTGGAAACAGTGAGTGTGTAGACCTGTCCTGTGCCCTACCTAACAACTAGACATTAAGATTATCATCCAGGGCATCTCTGTTTATTTTATATGTCTGAGGTAATTACACAGAACTGAAGAAAGGAACCACTGAACTGATTTACAGGGCACTAATGCACTAAACGTTTTTCTCTTATCCTCAGTGAGCATTTCTTACCGGAGATAAGCTCAGAGATTCTGAACGGAGCCAGAGTGCAGCTCGTGGTGAGTACAGTCCACAGTTCATTCACTTCAGTAAAACGACTTGATTTAAATCTTTCTGGGGGGCAGTTGCATGTATGTGAAGGTATGCAGTATTTACATTCACCAGTCAGAGTCATGTCCCATGCTCTGGGCTGGAGCCTGTCTCATCAGCTTCAATTTAAAGGAGGAAAAGGGGGGGAGGCCAGCCTGAGGTTTAGCAACACAGTGACACTTTCAATTGGATCAACTGGCTGCAATTTCTTCATTTCACTTGCAGAAATCCCAGTGTCACTGTGGAGCAGTTTGCCTAAACCCGAGAACGATACTGATGGTTGTGAGGTCTTTGAAGTCAGAAACCACAGGTCTCCCTGTGCTGTTAAAGAACAGTTTGAGTTATGATCACTGGCAAGACAAGCCTCCCCCTTCTTCCTTTTCATATATGTTCAGACCACAGAGCCGCTGGTTGTTGAATGTTTTTCAAAATGCTGGACTGGTTGCGTGAGTCGTGTCCTGTTGGACCTCATTTATGTGTGTGTTTCTGTGTGTGATACTTGCAGGCTGCCCCATGGAGCAAAGAACGACATCATGCCAGTGGATTGTGGGCCAGCAGCAGTTTAGCTGTGCAGCCCAGCACAAAGGACAAATATCCTCGCAGAAACTCTTTGGGCCATGCAAGTGAGTCTTGTGAACGTCACAGACAGATCCCCAGGTTACTGGGAACTTTAAACAGAACTTTTTTTTTCTGGTCATCTAGAGAAATGGTTCTAACTTTTACAGGTTATATAAAGAACTTCACTGGTCAGGTTTTACTGGCAATCTTCTCAGAAAACCTGGAATTTTTTTAACTATACATGCATAAATATACATGTATGCATGTATAGTGGAACATGCATGTACAGATGTTTCAGTGTTTGCACACTTGCACTCGTGCGTCTCAGGTCAGTCAGGCCGTAGAGCCAGGGGTAAAGGCTGCTGCTTTTTCAGCCCAGTCCACCGGTCGCCTGCTGTTGAAGGGGAGGGGAGCCACAAGGTCGGGTCGGGGACAGAGCGCTGTGACTTTCTCTTGTGACAGGAAACAGGCAGAAAAAAAAGTCCTTTCACTGAAGAATGACTGGCCCTTCTGTCAGGAGAAGTGGGGCTCAGGAGTTTGAGTGACAAAGATGCTACTGACAGGCTGGCAGCAAATGACCACATTAAACAAGCCCTGGAATCCAAGCTAAGGAGAGCCCTGTCCCCAGTAATGAAGCCAAATTGGATTCTGATGATGATTTCCAAATGATATCCATGAGGTGCAGAAGGAGTGAGGGTTGTTGTGCTAAGCAGGCAGACTGCTGTTCTCCTCAGGAGTATGGCTGCAACTCAGGAATCCTCTTTGACTGCACTGATGAATACACCATTTATCTATGAATTATCTAGGGCAAATTGAAATATGAATATGTGTAACAGAGGAGCATTTCTTAAAAAGCCAATTAGATAGTTCATAAACCTGGGAAGCACATCTAATGTTGTGCTTATGCTACTGTAAATCATCAAAACCTCATCATATCAGAGGAAATGGGTTACCTGGGTTGAATTAGACAATCAGGAAAATAGGAGTGTAGCATCTTGGGTAAAACTCTTGATCCAGGGTAGCATTCATGAGTCAGTAAAAGACAAACTTTAACAAAAAACCAAACAAATAAAATACATATACAGTATATATATGTAAATATACAGTATATACATGTATATCCTTTGCCTTTAAGGAGACGTACAATACACACATCACTGTGAAAGTTTTAAGCTGGAGGGTTCAGCTAGTTTATCATAGCAAAGCAGTAAAGACAACCTGTCTCTATAACCTATTGCAATATGATACTCACACTTGCTGGGACAGTGCCATAAATGTGTTTCCAGGCTCACAAAATATTTTCATTATGTGAACAGGGGAAACCACTTAAGTTGCATATTTGTGTCTACAATTTTGTCTGCTGTTCAACTCAAATAGCAGTAAAATGATAGAAAACCGTTCGTTGGGTCACAGCAGTCAGGTCAAGTGTGTGGCCATCTGTGTACATTTAATAGCATAACTGCACAAGTTGCATTAAATTTAGCAACATATGCATCAAAATTTGGGGGGATGTTTTTGACTTAGAATAGCTAATTATCAGAAGTCTTTAATAAACTCAATTTAGCCACCAATGCCAGACTGATGTTTCTGGAAAAAAAAAAAGAAACAGATCTGTGGCAGTTTATTACAGTATAAGAAGAGGAAAAGCACAGCGTTACACCACAGACATGTATAAAGTCAGAGACTAGAGAGGTGCAAGTGGCTGTGACTTGTGAGTAGAGGGATATTCTAGACAGTGAGCCAGCTGTGCAGATATTTGGAGCTGGGTCAGTACCTACGATGTGTCCCAGGCTCCCTGCCTCCTCCAGAGGCCTCCCCGCTGTTTGGCTCCTTGTGTGGGACAGCCATGGAGACCGTGGGCCTGGGCTCTACACGTGGAATGCATCATTCCCGGTAGAAGCGCTGCCTTTGTTCTGTGTGTTAAAGCTTTGTACTGATCCCCAGGTGAAATGGAAGGGCCTCTTATATAGCAGAGGGAGACGAAACACAAATACACAAAATCTTTTTAATTCCTCCTTGGTTTGTTTAATTCAAAACGAACATTTCAAAGATAATGCCCTGTAGCATGTTTTTAGAATGAATGCCTTAAAGCCGAATCATTTAGGTTTTTCTGGAAGAACGTTGGCCTCAACACTTCATTGCGAGTTTTTCTTTAAAGGAGAAAATCCTCAGGTGAAGAATTGAAACACTACTACTCTGACAAGCAGATGATATTGATTCGTTATGTCATCAGTTCTCAGGAACAGGAAAAAGAGCAGACCTGGTAATTACTGTATAAAATCCAGCTAAACTGCGCCACAGGACAACACATGGCTCCAAAGTGCAGGGCGATCACACTACAGTTTCATAAAGGATGCCATTAGAATAGCAATATGGATTTCTATTCAAAATCTGTGCTGGATTGATTTTACATGTGAAATACTGATGTGTTCATCTTCTACTTTGTTTTCAGGAAAAGATGTTTCATCTCCGAAGCGAGTCACGTCTGCTCCGCCAAAAAAAGAGCGCATCTCCTTCCGAGACAACCCTGTCCAGCTGAGCGGCGGCTGGGGGGGGGGCAAGAAGAGGGACAAAGTGCACAAGTAAAACACAGACCCTTCTAAAAGCACAACGCTATACTACTGCGGTGACACTCTCTAAGGCAGATACAATTCTCACATTTTTAAAATGTGTACCTTTGTAAATTATGTTAAATCTATGTGCAGTATGTTTCAAAGATACTGGAGCTGCACTGGTACAGCTCACAGCCTCCTTTGTTCTGTATTATCTGGTTTTTAAAATAGCACAGGTTTGATGTCTTAATGTCTAAATGATTTGATGATGTCTAAATGTTATTTTGGGGGTGTAGCTATGAAGTATCAGTGTGACATGAAGAAGACTTTCTTTAGTTGTATTTATAAAGCTATTTTATCTTTTGTGCTGAATCAACCTGCAGCTGTTCTTTTTAAACTCAGCTGAAAACTCAGGCGCCTTCTCCTAAAAATTAGGCCAATAGGACCTGGAACAGCCCAAATATCCTTAGGCGGTTCCATTATGTAGCTCCTGCTCAAGTATCACTGAACGTTGGCGCAGCCGACCAGAACAAGAACACATGGAGAGAGGTCACAAACCTTCAGCAAATGACATGCTTGATAAGCAAATGATGGCAGAAAATTAGAACCAGGACCTGTAATAACTGTGAACTGTTGTTTTGAGGCTTGTTTACGCTCTTCACGGAAAATATAGTAAATATAGTTTGCAACCATGCTAAGAGATGTACAGTCAACTCAGAAATTTAAGCACAGTTTCTCTATATTGTTGACGTATTTTGCTCCTGCTCACTAACTGTGAGCTTGAACTTACCTCTTCTATAAGCACAAACATTGGTGTTGGAATTAGATTGTTTTTTTCTTTATTTTCAGTTGTGGATTAAAATGGACTTGTCTGTCTATTTGAATTGGAGAGCTAAGGCGTCGGTCCACAAACAGTGCCCTAGCAGAGGCGGTGAACCTCAGGCTTGGAGGTTCCTTGCTGCAAATGATAACTTAATGAATGTCAAAACAAATAGAGCTGCAGGAAATGCAAGTCTCTCTATTTATTTTCCTCCGACATTTCACTTGCACATGCCTGGAGAGTGTGTTTTGACTGTACATGAGCTGACCAGGATTTTGTCCTGCCCACTCACTGTCTTCCTTTGGGGGGGCACTGATCCATCAGGCCCATAGGAGACGCCAGTGGGCTGCTTCTCTGTCATCAAACTGATGTTGTACAGCAGTGATACTGCAGTGTTCAGATTTTTATTTTATATACAACATTATCAGACATGTGACTTATAAACACATATTGTTCATAAGTTCAGATTTGATTTAAGACTCATCTACAGCTAGTGCTTCTGAAATTATATTGTTAAACCATAGTCCACTAGTCTTCATTGGATTTGTTTACTTCTGGGTTATGAGTACATAACCTAAGACATCCAACATCTATTGCCTGCTGAAACGAGTGCTCCATTAGACAAGGTAAAGAGTGTCTCAGCCCAGACTGTGCTTACCTCAAGTCAGCGAATGTTGTCTGTCCGAGGGGGTTTGGATCCAAATCACTCCAAGGACCAGCTTTAAATGCAGTAAAGGACCATAAGTGTGCTTGTAAGTTTTAGCTGCAATGTGTGGATACTGCACATTTTGCTCACCGTTTTGAATGCATGCTGTACAGTTTTAGATTTTTGTAAACAGTTCCAAGCAGCCGCTGGTTCCCATTCCAAAACTAATTAGCAAACGCACGAAACTTTCTTGAGTTGTGTAATTAATCAAAGTGAACATCAAGTCTGTGTTTTCATTTTGCCAGCATTACATTGGCATTGCACAGTAATGCACTTGTCTTAACACAGCCACAATGTATCAATCACAAAAGTGAGCACAGACCCACAGCTCAAGCTAATTTCAAAGCTGTGATGATTGGTTTTTATATGTATGTGTAAATTAACAGAGACCAACGGCTGCCTGGAAAGATTGGGAAGTAGAAATTATTTGTAGAAAATGGGCTACGTCATGCAAATGTGCAGGAGTTTCTCTTAGCACTGTACTAAGGTAGCTGTGATGAGAACAGTTCCTCTAGTGGCACTAGCATCTTGTTGTAGCACTAGACTAAGGCTAAAAGACGACGCAGGACAGACAGACAAACCACAGTTTGTGTGCAGGCAGCATGAAAAACTAACTGACATGGTAGTAATGTGCTGCTCCTCCAAAGGAGCAGTTTATTATAAGTGAATAGTAAATCATAATTGATTAGATTTGATGGAACTCTTTAAATGCAAAAATGATATAGTTACATTTTTTTCAGTGATATAAGTCTAGAGAAAATTCAGGATGTAAAATGACTGTAACTTCTAATACCACAAATATTTACTGACAAAGGAGAATTGGTCTTTTTGCCCGCCTCTTTAGCCAAAATAAAGAAAATGGATATAAGCTCGGAGAAATACGCTGCATGTACTTCACCTAAAAATGTGAACCCAGTGTGTAAAGAAACTGGGGAAAATTCCCACAAGCCGAAACTCTTATGCACCAGTCTCTGGAAAAAGCCAGCGCTTATTTATTCTCTGAATTACAGCTGCTGGCTTATAATATCACTTATAGTAGATGGCAGTGAGTCAGAGTGACTCTTCACTGCACTGAGGTCACAGGTAGGACACAGAATCCCTTAAATCTGGCAGGTGATTGGCATTTTAGACAAAGGTGGAGAACATTTATGGAAAAAGTGCATTCATATGTACATGTCCACATACTGTACAGTGTAAGTCCCTAGATACACATATTTTATACATCTTATAAAATATATGCATTTAAAATTTACACTATGAAATGTATCATTAAATGCATGTATATACACAGGCACACACATCTTCTTGGTATTAAAATTGTTATGATAGGTTATACATTCAGATGTGTTTTTCTAATAAAGTCTGATCATAGGATATTATATTACTATATTTCTGCACTGCAGTGAGACCTGAGATTACAGGGAGAAGGTGCTTGGAAAGAATGGATCAGTGGAATGACTTAGTTTAACCTGTTGTATCTGGAGCAAAAGCACCTCCAGGTTAGTCTAACTGGTGTTTCAATTATAACCAGCATCTTTTTTTTTTGCTCCAGGGTTCACTAATTACTATATAAGAAATTGCTTATACTTAAGTTGTTGTGTACTAATGTGTTCCTGCATCTCCTGTTAAATGGTATTTTGGCACTTTGCAGCATCTATGTCCGTGGCTGAGAGTAAAGAAAGAGCTAAACTTAGCTAAAGAAAGCACTATGTGTGTCTCATTTTTACACAGAATAAACACATTTATTCTTGATGTATTATTTCATAGAACTAGGGTTTAATTAGTTTTTACATGTATTTCAAATGTGCCATCCTGCTCTGAGTCTGTGTCCCAGCCTGGTCTCCTGTCCAACATTTTCTAGATCCGCCCCTGGGTATTAGTTTATTATTAATAAAATGTACTTAAAGATTATACCAAAGTATCTGGATTGAGGCTGGCTAGGTTTACTGGCTGGTTCCAGTCACAGGTGACCTGTGCTGCATGTTGACATGCACCCAGATGACTTAGTTTAGTGATTGAGAGCTGACATATGTCAGTGTTCAGAAGTGACTGGCTCCTGGAAAAACAAAAGACAAACAAAATGAAAACAAACTTTAGCAGCACGAATACACTCCTTTGACTTTTCGACATTCAGCTTTATGAGCCAAATGTTCTGCAGACTCAGATGACATTCAAAGCTCCACCGAATGTCTGCTTTCAGGGGAAATAAACTCTGGTCGTTTTTATGTTGCGTGGCTGGCCAAAGTTTTGAGACATTTTAGAAGATTGAATTAGACTCAGGACTTTGGGCATCATGATGTCATGTTTCTGCCTTTTGAAGTGGCACGCTTTGGCCTGTGCTCGGCTGTGTTGTACTGTGTTCAGTCACATTAAGACTTAAATAAATGACAGCTCAGTTCAGTCCTATCTGATCATGATGAGTGCTACATAACAAACTGGCAGTATATGTTTACAGTTAAAGTGAAGCTGTTGGTTGTTCCAGGTGCCTCACATGGCATATTGTCTAAAGCTAAAGAGTGAGGCTGACTGATGGACCTAAAGGTGACCAAGCAGCTTGGATTGTGGCAGGAATCCCCAGCCAGAGATCCTCCAAATCACATTTTGTCCCCAGCGTGAGCCAGTGTGCAGGTCATCTTAGAAGCCCAATCAGACGCCCCCTGCTACTTTAGAGCACCTTTGTTTATTTGATTTGTTCTCCCGTGGCACCGCGCATCCCCAGGTAGCTGCCACTGACCCCAGAGCGAACCAAAGCTATGCGCGGCGTGCGCGGTGTGCGTGGCAGGTGGTGCGGCTCCAGGTTGAGATGCGGAGGTGGCACATAGGCTTTGGTAACCTAATTCTTCCAATAAGGAGAAATAGAAGAACCCACGCTTACTGTTGAGGCCTGCTGAAAAAGAAACAACTTCCAGTGTTTGGTCTTTAATTAAAGCAAGTAAAGGTCGGTACTTCGTTTACAAGACTTGAATGGCAAATATTAACCCGAGTTTGGTCTCATCAATTTTCTGTTTTCACAAAGGGTGAGTTGTCCACGTTGAGCTGCAGCGATCTGGATTCACCGGACAGCCCTGTTAGGCATCTGCGTTTTTGTCACAGCCGAACATCGCTCAGGTCTTCTTCTCTTGACTTAACCGGATGAATTTTTGCAAACATCTGACTCAACACGCGGATTTCAAGGAGAATAATAACCTGTAGTTTGTGACTAGACATGCGTCAAACTGTTGACCCTGATTTATTTTTTAATAAGCAAAAATAAAAAACCGAAGTTGGTTCTTTCTTTATTTTAATTCGGTGGAACCCAATTACAAATGTAGTTTTGGACATAATCATTGTATATTTTTGTTCTTGCTTGTCAAAATAACAGGACTTCGGGCCTATAATTAAAATAAATTAATATCCTTATAAATCCTATAAGGATCCTATAAATCCCTTTAATAAAAACCTGCGATTTCAGTCGGATACACTGTAGGTTACATGTGTTAATGGCGATTAAATTGTAGGCTGTAATTTTTGATTCATGCAGTTTCTACCATTTCTCAACAACGGCCATAAAAAAGCATAAGTAGAAGCCTCGTTTTCTACTATATATAAACACATTTCTGTTTATTAAACACATTCTGACGTTTTAATTTAACTAACAAAGAGAAAAAGCCTTTCCCGTCAGGTTTTACTAATAAAAAGTCAGCATTTAGTCTGTTTGCTTTTCTAAACCCGTCCAATCAATCTAAGACCAACATAAACGTCACAGAATAATCCTTGAAATCTGAATAATTTTAATAATTTCCGTACATCTGTGAAGAGGTTGTATAGGATTTTGCCCTTGATTTTATTCCGGAACCAAACGAGTTAAACTGTCCCAAAACGAGATGAATGAATAGCAGCGACCTTCTGGAGTGTTCAGAGACTCCGACTAAATCCCATCTGCAGTCAGATGTTGTAGCTGCAGATAAATGTCTAAACATGTTGTAAATTAAAGTCAGTTTTGATTGTTTCCTCTCCGAGTCGTTGTGGGTTTAAACTCACTTCAAACTGCTGTTTGGTTTGGATTCGGGGCGTGGGAGGAGTTGGGTGCTGTTTCTTATTCGGAGAGGAGGGGGGCCTTTAGGGATCTCCTTCTTTTTGGGGCTATAAAGACGTTGTGCCTTCAAGACAGAGCAAATTAACTCAATTGGCGAATTATTGCTACACAAGACATCGCTCCGCTCATCGGTGCGCGACGGCGATTAGCTGCTTTTTATGGTGGCGTTTGATTAACGGGAGCAGATTTCGGTTAAGATGATGGAATATATGGAGGATAAGTTCGCCTTGAAAAGCCAAGCGATGAAGGCCAGCGAATACTACATGGACCAAGTCATGGAGAGCCTGGACAGCGCGCAGTACTTCACCAAGTCTTCCCCGAAGTGTGTGCAGGCCTTCGGGCTCCAGAGCGGCGAGCACCGCTCGTCGCCCTGCGGAGAACACAACGGTGCGTAAAACCTTGTTTGTGCATCAGCCTTGCGGGTTTACATGCGTTGGTTTGAAGCCGTGTGCGTGGTAAAGAGAATAAAACTTAAATGTAGAGAAATTTAACATCCCATCATTTTTTTTTTTGTCTAAAACTTTTCAGATGTTTCATTTACTGCATACCTTCACTTATTCTAATCAGATATAGGTTCTTTTGTAATTAGTTTATGTTTTTGCCATTTTTAAATATTTGAAAGTATTTATTTAAAATGTAGTTTAATTTAATATGAAGCGCTTAAAGGGTCGAATCTGAGTAATAATTTAGATGTTTTTGAAATATGAGGGAATTTATTGGCCCCATTTTTAGTTTTTTTCCCTTTTGCTTCCATTTGCATTGTAATGGCATGCGTGTATAATTTGCCAGTATTAATTTACCACTTGTTCTCATTCTAGCCAGTTACGGTGTGCCAAAAACAGACGGCGACACTTTGCACTCAGACCTCGGCAGGTCCATGGACAGTTGTTGCACACTGCGGGCGTCTCCGGTGACAACCGGACAGGAGAAGGCTGATTTGGACGACATGGGAGACAAGTGCGACAGTAACGTGTCCAGCAGCAAGAAGAGGAGACACCGGACGACCTTCACCAGCGCGCAGCTGGAGGAGCTGGAGAAAGTATTTCAGAAAACACACTATCCAGATGTTTATGTGAGGGAACAGCTGGCCATGAGGACGGAATTAACAGAGGCCAGAGTGCAGGTATAGCTTATCACCAGACTCCTGTTTTTTTATTTTTATTTTTTATTTTATTATTTGTTTTATTTTAGTTTTGGAGGAAATAAACCATAAATAAAGTCAATGTGGCTTTAACTGAATAAATGTGGAAATGTCCCTGTGCGTAAAAATAAACCTAATAATTCATCATGTACAAAAATGTTTGAAATATTTTTAAAAGTAAAATACATAGTACGCAGTTTTATTTATATTTATTTACTTACTTACTTGAACGATACCGAAAGTTCTGTCTTGTTTTAGACTCCTTTTTAAAATGATGTCCAACAGGCGTCTGAACACAGATTTATTTTATTTTCTTTTGTTTTCTTTTGTCTTTTTCTTAACAAGGTGTGGTTTCAGAACAGGAGGGCAAAGTGGCGCAAAAGGGAGCGCTACGGGCAGATCCAGCAGGCGAAAACCCACTTTGCAGCCACCTACGACCTCTCAGTGTTACCGAGAGCCGACAGCTACACACAGGCGAGCTCTTTTGCACAGTTTGTCCTCAGTTGAAGGTTTCTGTTGTCGGTGTCCGTGCGAACCTCTGAGGAGATCGTCTAAACCGCTCAGTTAACCAACTGTATGTTGAGCCACAACAAATTGTGCACATTAAGCCTCTGTCATTAATCACCATGAAGCCCATCTTCAGATAAGAGCCTGAACACTGATTAGAGACTCCGTGAGGTGTCATGGCTGAATTAATGGTTTATATCAGATTTCCTGTTAGCTGAACATTTGTCTTGCAGTTTGGACAAAGGTCAGGTACAAGATGAGGTGAGAGGAGACGCGCAGTGTCGGTTTGTCCTGCGGGTAGATGTTCCCTGTCAGAAACGGACATTAGGCCTTCAAGTGATGTTGGGCCGTTTAGGTTTTTTTCTGAGATGAAAATATGCAGGCAGCAGCTCACAGAGGGGTGCGTGTGAGCTTATATAAAACAGCTCATTTGTTGAAGTCAAAAAGCTAGAACTTTAATAAAAAGGCTGTGGAATTAGAAGTCAGAGCTTTGCTATGTCCTGGCCCAGGACCAGGTCAGAAATCTGTGACTGCCTCCTTTTTCCTCACACATGGTTCCGATAGATCCCCTTGGATACCAGCCTTGCCCTTTCTTACAGCTGATCCAGATTACTGTCATTAAATGGACTGTCCTACGTGTAACTGTGTTGGCAGTGGGTGTCATGTCTCCCTAAACACAATGGACAGAGATGGCTTTCTTGTGGAATTTGGTTTTCTTTTGTTGACAGTGAGGTTTTGGCCATTGTTGTTGCCTTGTGGGCAAAAATTGAAGTTTGTGGCTGATGTTGTCAGGAAGGCACTGTGAAGATTCTCCTGTTACAAAAGACGTTTATCTGACTGTCACATAGGACTTTACTCTTTACCAAACCACAGCTGGGTTGTGGTATTTGTTAAAAATGTCTGTAAACTATATTTTGGCAAAAAGGAGTTGTTCTCAGTTCAGGCTATAAGTCTGCAGTCATTTTTAAATACGCTGCAGGTGTGTTTGTGTGTTGGTGTAAAATATATTGAGCACATTTATTTGTTTAAAATTTATGGAACAATTTTGGTGTGTTTATTACATTTCTTTATTGGGAAATATGTCTTGAAATGAATGCGGTGGCGGCACATTTAAGTGATTTCATTTCATTTTGATGAAATGCAATTAAGGAACGAATTAATTTGCATGTTATTCTGTAGCATGTTATGCTGTCTTTACCTGCGCTGGCTCGTCACTTTGACTGAAACCTTGGCAAATGAGATCCGATGAGCCAGCGAGGGTGGGTGAAGTCATGTGAAATGGACCGAGCTGTCAACGGAGCCTGTATTTTACGTGAAGGGCGGACATTCTGGTCTGTGGCTCTGTGGACTGGAGCTCAGACCTTAAAGTCAGTGATGTTGTGTTGAATGTGTGTTGACCACATGGATCCGTATCTCCTCTCTCTTCCATCTGGTTTCTGACCATCTGATGCTGCATTAACCTGTGAGGATGAATTTTTTAATAATCATCAGTGCCTCTGACACCCTGTGTCTGTGGTATTGTTTGTATTCATGTACATTCATTTTAGACACAGACAGTCACTGGGGTTAGTGCACCACAAAAACAAAACAAACAAAAAAATTTCCATGTACTGCTAGTGCTCTCTAGTTATGCCGTCAGTTTTTTCTCCTGTCACAGTATCTGTCTGAAATTTCTACCTCAGCCTCAGTGTAACGGGGCTGAATGAAATTTTGAAATGTAAGTTTTGGTTCTCAGAGTATTAAAGACAATTACATTTAAAACAGTCAACAGCTGTACCTCCTTCCACAAACAGACCACCTCCATCGCTGTCGTGTTTATGTCTATGGAAAGACAGAATTCTCAAAATTTGCCTGAATAAAACCAAAACTGACCTAATGTCCATACGGCACTAAAGTTAGAAATGTCTTTATTTATTTACTGTAATATGGGTGAAACAACCTTCTACACTTTTCACCGTGTAAGTAAGAAATTTGCATTTGTAGCTACTTACTCAAAGAGTTTCCATATGACTATTTTAACAGCGGCGTTGCATGTCCAACACATCACTGACCAAACTGCCACTATTGTACATCAGAGAATTCTTTCTACAGCTACAACCCTGTGTTTCTGCAGCTTGTAGTAAATGTTACGACACTGCCAGTCAAAGGTCTGGACACACTTTCCCACTGAATTGGATGTGAAAGTGTGTCCAACCCTTTGACTGATAGTGTGGATCAACATGTTGTCCAAGGTTTTTACCTTATTTTAGTCTTGATGAGTGAATGAAATTGTTCAGGTGTTATCATGTAAAGTGTCTAAACTATCTCTACATTGTGTGTGTATGTGAATATCTTTGTAAATGACAGTTTTCAGCCCATTGACTCAGTAAATAAATCTTTCATTCATAGTTTTCTTCTAGCTACCTTGATCATATCTGACCACTTTCTTTCATCCAACAGATCCCCAACAACCTGTGGCCCAGCCCTCCTCCCGGCGGCTCTGTGGTCTCCTCCTCCATGCTGCCCCGAGGTTCCCCACCCTGTGTCGCTTCCTACTCACATTCTCCTCGCTCGGCCGCAAGTGCCACCGATCACGGCTACGTGGCCTTCCCTAATCAGCAGAACCAGTTCGGTCACGTCTCCCTTAATAACTTCTTCAGCGCAGACTCTCTCCTCACACCGGGTGCCAACGCTCACCACGCCTTTGAGACCAAACCTGAGTTTGAAAGGCGCTCGTCCAGCATCGCCGTGCTGCGCATGAAGGCCAAAGAGCACACGGCCAACATCTCCTGGGCCATGTGATCACAGTTCCTGTGCATGTCTGTAAAGTCTGGATAGTTTATGGGAAAAGTTTTACAGCGCGTGGGGATTCCCCACATCTGTTTGTCACTCATAGTACATAAGTAACAGCATGTTTGGTCGTCAACACGCTTGTTTTCAATGAAAATCAGCCATGGAGTTATAATTTCACAATCATACAGTACTGCCCTGCTATTTAGAACTGCATCATTTGACCAAAAAGCTAACAGGGCAAGAAAACAGGGTCTGGGTAAAGTCCACAAATGTGTCAGGATTTGTGGTTCTCTGCAAGTCAATAAGCTTTAGCTAGGAATAAAACATAAAAATATTCAAATAGCCATGATCTTGTGTTACAGATAATCAGCTCTGTTGTTGCAGATGGACAGGCAGTCATTAAAATCCTGAGACAATCCAGTGGTCAGTGAGACTTTTTGGAAAGTTGGAGTTAGTCTAGGCCTTTGTGAAGCTTAACCAAAGCATCACATTCATATCACTCAGGACTTCAGGATAATGCCCAGTGCACAGTTTTACAACCTACAAACTGGAATCCTTCCTGGTCAGGCCAGGGGGCTGAAAAACCCTTGTGCTCTGCAAAGGTGAAAATAAATTTAAAAAAATAAATATTAACTGAAACCCAAATCCCAGTGGGGTTTGACCCCAGTGTGGGTACATGTGGATCCTGGGGGAGGGGTCCCGAACCACTAATGCATTTCTAAGCACTGTGAATAAGCACCTGCGGCCTCCAACATCCTCCTTTGTTCCAGCTCAGGACTGAAGATGAGCAGCGCTGAGATGAACCGACTCTGTCTTGCATCACAGGTACCCGACGCAGCAAGAAGCGGCCGGGTGTGTTGTAAATCTGTCTGGTGAAAACATGAATAAATGAATGTCACTTGAACCCAGGACGACTGTACTTTTTTAAAGATTACATTAAAAGGTAAGCCTGGTGGTAATCTCATCTACCCTCACCCCATCCAAAGGCCTAAACCAACATGCTGGATATACTCACCTACACAGCGGAAATACATTTTATTATTATTATTTTTTTGGTTCATGCTTTTTGTAGGAGCTAATGGGCTCGGGGCTGAGCGCCACAGACAGAGGGAAAGTAGTCAGAAAATATTAAAAAGCATTTGAGTAGTTTTTTTTTATACAAAAGTAAAGACTAAACTATAGGCATTCTGTAAGACAATTAAAATCATACATTTCCAACGGTTTATCAAGGTCATGTATTTATTTAAAAAACAAAAGCCCCACTATCAGAATATCTTCAACTGATATTTTGTTACTTGTGAAATATACTGTAACGGTCTTCATTCACAAGGAATTCAGTTATAAGCAGTGACACTTTTTATTACCTGATTAATTGTGTTGTATATTAAAATGTCAGAAAACACTGAACTGCCCATCGCACGTCCTCAGAGCTACAGTCACAGCCAAAACCAAAACCCACCCTACCCTGTCTGTGGTGCATATAGCCGCAAGCCCGTTGATTTCTGGTGAAACTTCAAAAATGTGTTGCAAATATTTTATTTTGCTTACAAAAACTCCCAATGTTTTCCTAAAACAGATGGGCACAGGGACTATTTTCAGCTGTGGATTAATACACATTTGGTGCTTTACTGTAGGTTGAGTTTACAACAGGGCGGTGAATGTATGTCTTGGTCTTTTCATGGGATTTGTTGCCGATAAGAAAAATGCACAGTTTAACTAACCCTAAAGTTAGGCCTCACTCTTGTAGCCTGGAAAGTCATGTCAGCTCATTAGATACTTCATCTGTTCATTTATCAGTAGTAGTCATTTCTATTTTGGCCCCAGCGCTGCATGTTTCTCCTAAAGCCCGCAGCCTTTGTTCTTTAATCTTTCATGCTGTCATGTAATTGGGAGCATGTCTTCTTCCTTAGTGACATCATCCTTTTGTTTTGCTCAGTGGTGGATAGCATCTTCGGGAAACCCTTTCTATAGGAGCACCGGGCTTGATTAAATTAGGACTGTAACTTGTGTCAGATGCTTCGGTCTGGAAGCTAGTTTGTTCCTTTGGTGTGCTTCCTGGTCACTGCTATTGAAAAGTACAGACCATCTGCACTCATTCTGAGGTGTCCACAGAGACACTGGTGGATGTTCCATTGAGTGGACCTTCTGCTACAAAAGACAAACTGCACTGTATCTGGATTGCATATTGTTTTTTAAAATAATTCTGTGTTAAATTTCATATCTAAATGAAGCACTAGGTGAGGGCAAACCTGTTCTGCAGAATATAGTGAGAAAAACAGCATTTTGGCTTAGTGTCTTGTTAGCTGTCTCCCATTTCCTTGAGACACATTTCTTTTGTTATGATTGAGTATATTTTACACACTTACAGTTCTCATCTTAATTGAAGCTCTTTTTATCCTTTCCATGACTTGCAGTCTACTAGTCATCTATCAATAATTTCATCTGCCTTCAGGCCTCTGGTACGCCAGGCATTGTACGGTTAGTTACACGAGACATCGGCTGAGGTTTAATAATCTCACAAGACAATTTTAGCCAGAAGAAATGAACTGCCATCAAGTAACACCACACCGCTTTTCCCAGCATGCCCCTGATGTTGCTACATTCAGTTTTTCCCGTCCAGTTTTTCTCAGACACAACCGGTGATAAGTGAAGTGACTATAACAGGCTATACATCAGCATTAGTTACTGAGTAAAGCAGCATATAGACTGCAAAGGTACAGTGGTGGAAAGTAACTAAGTACATTTACTCAAGTACATATTTGAGGTATCTGTACTTTAATTGAGTATTTTCATTTTCTGTTGCTTCATACTTTAACTACATTTTAGATGCAACTATTGTACTTTTTACTCCACTACTTTTATTTTATAACTTTAGTTACTAGTTACTTTTCCGCAGTGATATTATGATGTTTTTCTTTGTCACAGTTGTACGGCTTGTTTTTGGAGGCACCGGCGACTGACCGTCATCGTGGTTTTGGTATTTGGGCTGTTTGTGCCGGGCCACTAGCTGGAAGACGTTTACCTTTGTTGAATCAGACCAAATCCCAGTGAAAAGCCATCAAGAAAAATAAAATGAAGAAAAGCTAATTCTGTGAAACCTTGTGATTTTGTAAACAAATTAAATGATGTCTAGGCATTTGTATGTTGTATCTTGCTGTCCGTCTAAAATCAGACTTGTCACAGTCTGTGGCTGTAGAGAGAAGGTTTGCTCATTAGGAGACATGATAAAGGGAACAGTGTTGTTTTTGTTTGTAGATCACTAACCTGACACACTGTTGTTCTGTGGCACTGAGGGTTACCTCAGCCAGTGATGTGATTTCTTCCCCTGTATCTATAAACCTGTCTATAACTAAAACTCATCTTTTCCCACCATCTCTGTGCCCCTGTCGTCCTCCCCTCCTCCTCATCACACTGTGACTGCACAATCGGAGACTGATGGCCGTACAGCACATGTGGACAGTGTGTGTGTTTGTGCACATGATGCAGAGAGGGAGAGAGTGTGAGAGAGCGCTCCTGCAGACCAGATCCATCAACAGCTCCAATGGGTTTGACCCTTCCAGGTTAACCGCAGCCATTAATATAAGAGCTTCCCTCCCCTGCCTCCCTACTTCCCGCACAGCCTCATGCGGGGGAGGACAGGCCTGTGTGCGTGTGTGTTACAGTCACACACATGGCTGTTGACATGAAGAAACAGAGCTAGATCAAACGTTCTGGCGGCAGGCGGTTGAAAAATGGCCCCCACGGTCACATGTGTTGCACAGCGGAGATCTACACTTGCTGTCTGCCCACTGTTGTTATTTTAATCACTCAACGCTGATTTTCTACTTCTTCTTCTGCTCTGGAATGGATCGCCCAGCTCACCACCAGTCCATCTTCTTTTTTCTGTGGGCACAGCTATTTCTCATAAGCCCGCTCTGAGAGTTCAGTCTTGTCAGAGGTCATTTAATATGAGAGTTTCTTGTCAGTCCATGAAGAAGGCAAACTTCATGATTTGAGGATTCACATATTGTACAAACATATTTAGGCTTATATGCAAAAACCCTTTTCTGGTTTATATTAGCAAAACAGACTGAAATTGCCAGAAACAAGGACTTGATGTTGTATTTGTAAGAGCTGACCTGATGTTGACCTGATGTTTAAGGAGAAACATGATCAGCTTTGCCAAAATCCTGCAGCACTACAACAGAAGACAGCAGCAGGCAGAACCTGTGTGCTGATTTATGAGGCCTGTGACTTCGTTTGGCTGCATTAAAAAACAAAAATCAGAGAATGTACTGTAACTAATAAGAGTCATGGGTTTTTTGTTTTCTTTTTTAACTTGTATTATTGAAGGTCATACTGTAGAGCAAGAGGCAAGTTGCTCAACCCTTTGAAAGTTCTGTTCAGTTGCTTCAGAGCTAAACACTATTAGGTTTGAAAAAAAAAATGCCCAACTTCACAGTAACTATTGTTGCAGGTTCAGAGACACAAAGAAACTTGACTTCAGACATGAATAAAAATGTCTTAATGCCTCCTTCCTAATCTTCATACACCTTTGGTGTGACATAGAGAACCAGGGGATGAGATCAGATTTCCTTTCCTCCCCACCTCTGGGAGCATTTCATCCCAGGTGAAGGTCCAAAAATCGACCTTTGAAAGCCCTCTAGTGGTCTGACATGGTGCAGGGAGCGTAAGACTTGATCCATAAATTAAATCAGTCAATGTGCAAAGACATTTAAATGTGAGAATAACATTTACAAGCCTCAAGGCCTATGAAGAGATTTTTTATTCTGTCATTAGTGTAATGTTCACATAATACAGCTGATAAAGTTTTAAAAAGAACAGGATGTTTTATCACATAGATAAGATCAGAATGTTTAACCTTATCTACATCATTTCATTACACATTTATCCTTTGTTTTTATATTTTGGAGTTTTTACTTTCTTATGCACCAATGACACCTGTTAGATCATCTAATCACTGGCTCATGGTCGCCCCCGGATCGAGGCTTAAACATGCTGGCGCACGGGCATTCCCGGCGGGTGCTCCCCGAATTTTGTGTCCCATCAATGTCCGGTCGGCTTCTGATCCAGGGGTCTTTAGCTCTTGGCTTTAGACTTACCTAGCCACGCAGGCATTTGAGGCCAGCTGCTCATAAGGCCTTTGTCCTGACTTTCACACTTTGATTGATTGATTGATTGATTGATTCTTTCAAACATGCAGAACAGAACAAATGACAGCAACACACACATAATTACACATATCCAACCAATGCTAATCCAAAATCAGTTTGCTTACACCTATTACATGTTTGAATGGAGTAGGAAGAAGTCAGACTTATCCAGTCCTACCCCATGACATTTCAAATGATTTTAAAAGTTGTCAATAATTCTGTCCAGTCAATTTTTGGAGTTCTGTGTAGAATGTATCAGATTTGGCTTTTTTATTTTTTTGGTTGTTCGTATAGCATGAACTTTTAAATTTAAATGTCCCCTTAAGTTATATCCCCCTTCCCTTTCACCAAATAGCTTTTGGATTCCACCAGGTAATAAATTGTTCCTGGCTTTATACATAAACACAGCAGTCTTATATCCCACTAAATCAAAGAATTTTAACAATTTAGACTGTATGAAAGCTCCATTGGTGTGATCCCTATACCCCATCTTATGCACAATTCTTATCGCTCTCTTCTGTAATATGTACAATGGCTGAAGTGAACTCCTGTAAGTGTTTCCCCAGTTTTCAACGCCATACTCCAAATATGGCAAAATCAGTGAAGAATACAAAATGCGCAATGCTTTAACGTCCAGAATATATATATCTAACCCTTGCCAATATCGGTATATTTT